AACTAATCCAACAGTGAATAAAAGCCAGAGATGTCGAAATTACTACCTAGTACCCTTATCCTAACCAAGCACAAATCTAACAAGAAGGTGTCCTAACCAGCTTCTAAGTGCTCAGGATAAGTCTCCAGGTATGTATGACTTTAACGGGGTTGTCACACCGGCCTCATTTTAGAGATCAAAGAGATCTAAAGGGTGTCACCTAGAAAAATTTTTGAAAGAGTTGGTCTTACATATGGCCAAGCTTACTACATGCTTAATTTTAAAATTATGGCAAATGTAATAAGTAGAAAAATATAATTTTTTTATTTCTAAAATAAGGGTCATTAAATACGGACTCGTAACATGCAAGGTGATATGAATTAGACTCGTTGTATTCTTAGCATAGTCATACTCATGTCAATCCTAATGTGATAACTCGAATACTAACTGAGATTCACCCAACGAGCAATGTTTGTCAAAGCATCTTCTTTTTTTTATGCAACAGAAAGTGAGTGAAACATTCTTCCTCCCAATAGAGAAGAGATTTTAGATAAGTCATTCATTTTCATGAGTATCATTCTTCTCAATTAATTTTCTTTCCTTATAAACCCATAAGTACTTCTTGTGAAGTCTCTTATGCTTATTCCTTCATTCGGTTTTGGTTAACACAGAAGTAGCTTTGGAAGATGAGCCAACTTCACATACTGATGGGGCATTATTAACTTCATCAACACTTCAGTTTATTTCTCATCCATCATTTCAATAATCTCAGTCATTTCAGAGACTTTAATAACATGGTGATTTTTTATTTCCTTAGAATGATTTTGGATCCAATAAACAACAATAATAAAAGCAATCACAATAGAGGAACATCCAACAAATCTTCTCTTTAAGAGCTAGAAATCAGATTCAGACTTGAGTTTAAATTCCATCAAGACTTCCTTTTTTTCAATAATTTGAGGGGGTCTATCATGAAAAAGCTAAGATTACGTTGTCATTTTGAAGTAATTAAAACCCATTCCAAATTTAATGACAGGAAAACTATTGAGATTAATTGGATTGAGTGTCAGATTTGTTCCATTTTCAAAGGAGAGAATTAACTTGGGGTTAACATCTTTCATGTAAGAAGGATATCAAAGGGTAGTTTAATTTCAAATTTCTAAATTTTTGTGAATTTAATAATAAACTCATGCAAAAGAGAACTCAATCAAAGCATTGAATTTGACAAAAGAGAGTTCTAAACCATACTCATTAAATAATCTTTAAACAAAAACTTAAAGGACTCAAAGTTCGAAGCATGTTGAGTGGACCCATTCCATGATTTGGTGGTGTAAATTCCAAGGAGAATGAGATAGGTAGTCTAACTTTGAAAGGGATACATACACTCTAACGATGAAAAATCATATAGGCCAATACAAGTGTTTTAGAGAGGATGCATCCCAACGGAATCTCTCTGGTAGGAAATTTTTTATGATGATGATGATGTGTCTGGTAAAAATTTTGAAAGATTTTTATGTAAAAGATCAAATGTGTCATTTGAAGAATAATATACTACTTTAAGAGACAAAAATATTACTTTAGAATATATCTAATCACTTAGATGTGAAAAATCTTTAAATTTTATTGGTCTGCATAACCAAAGATTTTTTCCTTACCTTAGGAGTGTATACAATATGATTTATTTTATTCTGTTGTTTGGAACCCCTACAAGGAAAAACTCTCATAGTTAATTACATCACAGAAATCGTGGCTCTTGAGAATACTCTTAATTAATGTATTATTTTATATCATACAAGATTAAAAGATTGATGTTTCAATACTTCAAATGAATATACTTAGGATTTGAAAAGATTTGTTTTGAAATTGAAATATTAGGTCTCACATTTCAATGATGATGTAATATGGAAAGGCCTAACAAAAAGGGCTAACCAACTATAAGAGCACACCCTAACGATTGGAATTATAAGTTTGTTGATTGAGTGTGATTTAGATTTAAAGGTTGGCTTTTCTTTGAAATGTTTGATTTGAGATGATAGAATTTAACTTGAGTTTGATTTAACTTGAAAAGGTTTGATTCAAGATGATTAATTTGAATTTTAGGTTTGTTTTAAGGGTTTTAAAATGTTTAAATTTTTGAAATGTTGAAAAAATTATGAAGTTTATTTAAAGTTGTTCGAAGATTATTTGAATTTTATTTGAATTTAGTTTAAAGTTGAGTTTAAAGGTTGGTTATAAATTTAAGAAATGCCTTGTCATTTTGAAAAAGGTTTTTTTTCTTTGAAGTTTTGAAATAAGTTTGAAGTTGTTTAAAGCTTTAAGACTTTCAAGTTTTGGAAAGATGTTGAAGCTTTAAGTATTACAGATATTGAAGTTTTGGAAAGATTTTGAAGTTTTAAAAGTTTAGAACTTTGAAGTTTTCAAAAGGATTTGAAATTCTAAAATCTTAGATTTTGAAAAGAATTGAAGTTTTTGAAAGATTTTGAAGTTTTGAAATTTTAGGATTTCATAGTGTTAGAAAGTTTGTTGGAGTTTTAATTTTTAAAGTTATGAAAAAGATTTGAAGTTCTAGAAAGTTTTTGATGTTTTAATTGTTTAAATTTGATTTAAGTTGAAGGAGTGCATAAGGTTTATATTGAGAAGATTCGACTTGAGAATTATTAATTTAAAGATCTAAATCCTAGACTAAAAGAACATGATAGGCTAGAAAGAATTCTATAAGAAAGTGAAATCCAAATCTGAACATAAAACTAAATTTTTTAAGGAGGCTAAATAGTTGGACTACCTAATGTTTGGGTATAATTCTTTCAATCAAGTTGTCAATGGCTTTCCATCATTCTGAGTTTATTGGTATATTTAGTCAATTAAAAGTTGTTGAAGAGATTGGCTTGGAAGAATAAGAGATAATACTAATTAGCCTAAAATATTGGAGAAAGAATGGATAATAAAGATGTTACAAAAGTTGCCCATCAAGAAGAAGAGGTCATAATTCAGGAACCTTATTATTAACATTGAATAATCTCTTACTTGCATGATATTGAGAATGACTATGTAAAGATTAATTTATTTACTTGGGTAAAAATAAAAATAATGAGATATTTTCAAACATTATTAATAGTATGCAAGATAAAAAAATTATATGCATGTTTTTTTCTTTTATTTTTTTTCTAATATTTTAAAAAATCTACCTCATGCATGCTCTTTTTTTTATTATATTTAAATATTGTTATTTATTTCCTTTTATGTAATAATTGATCTCTTTATCTATAATATCATTAATTATTGATTTTTTTAAATATTATTGTAAACAACATTTGTTTGTAAGAATGAGCCACCTATTACGCTGATATCATATAGATTTAATAATATAAGGATGGTTATTAAAGATTGTTATAAACAAATGAGAGTAATATAAGAATATTTAAGAAATATTGCTCAACATCGATTACAATTTAAGTTTATTGATAATTAAAAGTAAGAGGAGTGTCTTCAATGGATTGGGATGGAGTTTTTGACGACCTATGCATAACTCTGGGAAGTTTTAATTATTACTGAAAATAGATACTTAATAAATAAAATTATAATTGTACACCTAAAGAAAATGTAACACCTTCCATAAATATAACTCTTTTTCATACAATAGACATGGAGAGAAAGCGATTGAGTAATTTCCTTTATTTATAATTTTTACAGGGAAATCCCCTACAATGTAGCTTAATAAAACACAATATTAACATGCGGTAATCAGGGTAAAAAGTAGACAAACAAAGCAAGTAAGACAGACAGACAGTGTTGATTAAATGTATTATATTATATTTTTATCAATAAGTTATATATATTTTTGTGTTTTCGGCTCTAATAGAAATTAAAATATTCATATTCTATTTTTCATAATATACCTAATTTGATTGCATGATTATTCAATTATTAATATAAAATGCTTATAAGTAATCTAATACTATCTTGTAAAAAAAATGATTATACAAAGCTGAATTTTTCTAAAAATCTGCTAAGAAAAATTAGTTTATGTTATTAATGGATTAATGGTTGAAAACTTAATTTTTCAGCTAATTTTGCTCATCATAAATTTCTGATTATTTTATGCAAAAAAAAGAGGGTATTGGAGAATCTTTTGCATAAATCTATAAAAAACCAACATTTCTTTTAGTGAACTTTTAAATGATACTCATGATGTTGTTTTGAACTAGCAAATCCACCAAAAATCCACTAGAAAAATTCACTAATAGAGTTTAAGATTTCAATAGTATTTCCATTAGAGATATCTATCATGAACAAAAATCCACAAATTTTATTTATTTGTAATGAATGTTCATGATAACATGCTCTCTTACTGTGTTGCAAGGCATTATTAAAGGGTTTTGTATTATAATTTAAAAAAAAATTCTCAATTTATATATTAAAAAATATGTATGGGAATGTATAATTCCAATGCAAAATGCATTTGAGAAAACAAATTTATGGCTAAATTTTTCAAATAAATTAAAATTATGATGCATTTATTAAACTTCTTTCTATCTATTTTTTCTTTCACATAAGTAATATAGTTATAATAAACATCTCATACATACATACATACATAGTATATGTATATATATATT